ACACTACATGCATTTTGGTCCCACAGGTGCGTTACATGAGAGTGTACTTTGACACTCGCCGTTTACGTCAATATTGCTCAACAATTGTTATATTATGTATGGAAATGAAGCGGAATTTAGAGCTCTACATGATTGTTGAAGGTAAAATCTGCATTTCCTCAATAATAATGGCGAAAACCCCCAAAAAGTAAGAAAATGTCTTATTTTTTTACATATTTTAAAGTTTAATTTGTTTTTTCACTATTAACAATCATATTACTATTATTTAATATGGTATTTTCTTGTAGATAATATTATGCCGAAGAATCTAAGACTAATTAGACTTTTATAGATGGAATGGTTTGGGAACAATAAGTTTTTAAGTGGAACCTTGCAGTGTTTTACAGATTGTCCGCCATTTTCCAAGATGGCGGATTTTGCTACAGTGGGAAAAGTTGGGAATTTTCACAAAATGTTAAGGGAAGCATGCCTAACACATTCCAGTTGGTTTTGCTTTGTTATTAATTTTGCCCAGGTAAAAGTCTAAAAGGCCTAGCCTACTTGTTCTAACTAAATTCAGACAAAATGCTATTGGTGTCATATCGGATATTGAAAAGGCATTTCTTCAGATTTCGGTATGCCCTGATGTTAGAGACTGGTTAAGATTTCCATGGTGGGGAGGATATTGGAAGCGGTTAATACTTGTGTTAAAGGGCCTTCTTAAGCAAAACTCATTGTGTTTCAAAGAACTGATGACGTTAGTATGTGAGTGTGAGTATCTTATGAACAGCCGTCCCTTGAATTATGTCAGTGACAACCCAAATGAACTTACTCCTCTCAGCCCTTTCTTATTCCTTTCAAATCTTCCGAGCTCTGAAATGACTGACCTTGATGAGATTGAAAATATGAGTATTCAGAAAAGACTACGTTTTATACAAAAGCTTCGAAACGGACTTCAGATCCGATTCCATAAAGAATATCTGGGATTTTTGCGAACCACAAAGAAACATCAACAACATAAAACATTATCAGTAGGTGATGTAGTTTTGGTAGGAAATGAAAAGAAAAGATTAGAATGGATCCTGGCACGAGTATCTGAGTTGATTCCTGGACGTGATGGAATTGTTCGTCTTGTCAAGTTAAGAACCGCCAAAGGTGAAATTTTGCTACCTATACAGAGGTTATATCCCTTAGAAATTGGATCTCAAGACAACTTTGACGGGAACTTCGAACCTGAGATGACACCATCAAATACTACAATTGACACTGGTGGATTAACTGTGAACCAGGAAGAAACTATCTCGTTAACACAAGGTCCAACAAAGAACAACGTAAAAACTCGAAGTGGCCGAGAGATAAAACCAAGGAAAATCCTAGACATGTGAATGCTTTTATACGAATTGTGACGTTTACTAATTTTATGAATTAAGTGTTTGTAAATTGTTGTCAAACTCCTCAATTTACAAAGGTGGGGAGTGTGTTACGAATTGAATTTAATAGACTTTGGTTTCATTAATCCCTATTTAAAAGACTTTGGTTTAATCAACTACTGTACTATGTGGAACTAACATATGATCATATGTTTGATTATTATTCTGATTTTGTAAACAGAGTAGTAGTAGTGATGAATTTTTAAGAATACAGTTTCTTTTAGTAAGTGAATAAAAGAGGTTTTTATTTTAATTACTCGTTAGAACCTGAAGGGAATATTTAATATTTTTAAGGAATTTCCCCTAAGTTGTAATAATTGTAAAAGTAGATAAGGCATACAGTAAAACAGAGGTCTTGAAATATGGCGTGCCCCAAGGAAGCATTTTAGGCCCTTTAGTATACCTTTTATATGTGAATAACATGTCAAATGTAATAAAAAACAGTAAAATCTATATGTATGCTGATGACACAGTGTTGATTACCTCGGACAAAAGTGTAGAACTGGCAGAGAAAAAATTACAGGAGGACTTCTTATATTTAACCAAATGGTGTCATGACAACGGATTAAAGATAAACGAGAAAAAATCTAAAATAATGCATATACATTCACCCTTTTTTACCTGTAGAAATCCTCAAATAAAAGCTCACTCTCATAATTGCTTACATCTTGAAACTCACAAAGGAGATAAATGTCAATGTAGATGCCTAGACAATGTATGTAGTTTTAAATATTTAGGAATTATAGTGGATCATAATTTCAAATGGGATGTACATGTAAGAGAAGTCACAAAAAAGCTAAGGGTGTGTGCAGCAAAATTCTACTATCTACGACAATATCTGCCCTACAACACCATGAAATTATTGTATTCCTCAATGTGCGAGTCAATAATTAGATATGGCCTAAAAGCATGGGGAAGTGCTGCACACACGACCATGCTCCAAGTACAGACGGCCCAAACAAGATTATTAAAAATTATAGCAAAGCTTGATGGTGCTATTGTTGGGGCTAATCCTATTTGTTGTTTTGAGGTTACTAACACGTTGTCAGTTGAAAAATTGTTCAAGTTCTTGTTAATTATAGACTATTATTTTCTCTAATAGATTTAAAGAAAAAAACTCTCATAAATATAATTCTAGGAGAACCTTTTATGTTATACCTTGCGTGAACAATAAATATACAAAGAGAACTAGACATTATTTAGTGCCATATTTGTTTAATGAGTTACCAATGAGTTTAAGTAATTTTAAGTCATACTCTTCCTTGAAAGCTGAATTAAAAAGATTTTTGATTAATTGTTAAGGTTTTCAGAATTTATCTTTGTTAATAGTTATAATTCTATGAATTGTTATTGTTAAATATTGTTTAAATAGTTTAAGTAAAACATGGGTTTGTTAATTACCTGTAGTAATTTGTTGTTTATTTCAAATATTTATTTACTTGTATTAAAATTTTTGTTATATTAGTTTTTCCTATTATTGTTAAAAAATGAAAGAAATGGTAATGAAATGTGAAAACCTATTTATTTAATACAACAGATGGGGAGAATAGCTTGAACCAGATAAGAAACTGACTGGAATCTTTGTGAATGGACTTTTGAACTGGACTCTTATCTATAGCTGCGGACAAGCCTACTGAGGCTTTTGTAGCTTTGTATGAAATGTATTTTGATTATTATGTTTTTTTTGTTGCATGAATAAATAAATAAATAATAAATTAGTAACAAGGAGTAACAAGTTTCTTTAGTTTAACTGTAAAATCTGTAACGGATTCACCTATCATTTGCTCTCGTACTATGAAATTAACATGCCGTGCCCAAACGCTTGGTTGAGGATCCAAGTATTGCTTTAATAAAGCTGTAAGGTCATCATAATCTTTCTGATGTGGTGTTTCAGGTGCACAAATGTTATAGAGCTTTTGATGTAACGTAGGAGGTAGGTCATTAAGTAGGGTGAATGTCTTTGTAGTTTTGTGTGATATGTGTTTCAGGTGCATAAATACTTCAAGTATTTTTGTAAAATTGTCAAAAGATTCATCTTCACTGAAAGGTACAAATGAAATATGGGATGTTGAAGCTGTATTGCCAGTAGAGTTGCTCGCATTACCATTGATTTCTTGAGTTGTATTCAAAAATGAAATAGGTTTCAACTGCCTCAACATAATCTTCAACTTAATGAATACTTCTTCAATGTCCATCTTGTAATTGACTTGTAATTTGACAGTAATGTGGTGGGTTGATGACGAATTGAGAGGCATTTGAATACCTGAGATAGCACGTATGATTATTATTCACTTAATAATTTATATTAGATAAAAATATTAAGGCATTGCCATCCCTTTTATTGTATAATACTATGTTAAAGGTTTTTATGTTTACATATTTAACATTGGAGAATTTAAACGTTGTTGAGTGCACATGTGTGCTGCGATTGGGGTTTAATATATTTGGACCTATTCAAAAGTAAAAGTGTTTTCTGTACTGCACTCTGTGGAAACATTGTGGCACTATTTCAAATCATGACTAATACAGATAATGATATTCTAACAGGTTTAAATAATATTTCACCATTACATTGCTTATAATAGTTAAAATCAGTGTGCATGTAAGACTCATTATATTATATTGTGTATATAATCGTATATCCATACTGGGGGCTCCGTTGGCAAATTTGCCCGGGGCCCCTGCAGCCATAAGTACGGGCCTGAAAGTTTACTGCCACTGCCACCCGGATTTTACTCTAAACTATCGTTTATAAAACCAGTGTTAGTTTTGACACATTTTTGTTGGTGAAATCAGATTTCCTTAACCGTGGTTTAAATCATCAGTTAGTTTTAACCAAAGATTAACTAAACCATCGTTAGCGTGAATTTGGTGAAATTGGGCCTTAGTGATCTATACCAATAATCTATACTTATTAAAAATAAAAAGTAAAATCTACTCATTTAACCACCACTCACTCACTGATCACTAACATACCTAAAAAACTACAAGCCATAAAAACTCAGGAATCGGCATGGATGTTCCAATCAACCACTATGTGTGCAATAAGTAGTGTTTTCAAGAAATTCCAATAGGGCTCTGCCCCAGTAGCTTAGCTGGTTATATTTCATAACATAAAATGAAAATATTTACATTATTTTCGTGGCTTGAAAAAGTGTTTTACTGCATAAGAGATTTTTAATAGTTAAATGAATAAAAAATCAAGAAGTGTAGGCCCTACTCAGATTGAAAATTGAACTCTTTAATTTAAATTTTCGTGAGCGAAGCCACGATGGCTTTGCTAGTCAATCTATAAACCAAATAAAGTTTACCTCAAAATAATAATAAGTAAGGATAAAGTTTTTCTCAACATTTTTCTCTACGCGTTTTCGACATATACCGATTTTTCACCGGCATGTGGAACTGCAGCATTGATTGTGTGGCCAAATAGATTTAGTACTATTTGAATGAGGTTACATACAACTCCCAAACTATGTCAAGAGACCTTTTTGGTGTTTTTGTAACAAATTACAGGTACCTGATAAAAAGGGTGTGCCCAAGACAGTGTCTTGTAACCCCATCATCACTAATTTTTCTACTTGTTAAGTGCAGGTGGCCATGGTTGAAGTGCAACTTAGCAACGAGACGCATGTTCCGCCCGGGATGCTGATTCTGTTTGCAGTATGCACGACTCTCCTCGTTGCTGTACACATGTTGGCTCTCATGATCAGCACATGTATCTTGCCCAACATTGACGCAGTGTGCAACCTCCACTCCATCTCATTGGTTCACGAATCTCCCCACGAGAGGCTCCATTGGTATTCCACATTTTTGTCTATAGAATCGAACCTGTTAAGATAAAAAAATCTAGATTTATAATACAGGGACATAAAAAAATACAACAATAATCATCTGTATTTGATATAAAAACAAAAATGATATGACTTTTTGCTATATGAGATTGTCAAGAGAATTTAAAAAATAGTTTTTATCATGTTTTTATCATGATAGTTTTTATCATGTAAACAAGTTCACAATATGCGCCCTTCTTGAAACTCGAAAATCATCAACCTAATACTCAAATTTATTCTACATTCTCTATATAAAGAGACAAACCGTTTATTTTAAAGGTTGTGTTTAGCAATGAAGCAACTTTTTATCTTTCTGAGAAAGTCAACCAACACAATGTGTTCATAAAGAGTTCTCAGAATCTGTGGGAAACAATTGAGTAGAGTGATTCGCTTGAGGCAACAGTTTTTTATTTCGTTTCAGCCAATAAAGTTTTTGGTCAACCTTTCTTTGAAGGTGCATCTTTAACTGAGCTCGACGATGTTGGAGAGTGTGTTGTTCTCTAAACTTGAATAAAAATTCATAATCCTCTTGCATGGAGCATTGACAACCATCCCTCGTTCACAATTTGAATGAGGACTAACAGGCCCGCTCTGGCTCCATTGGAGGCTCTCGGCTATATGGTGATTTGAGGCCCTCCGCCAACGGAAATAAAATAAGGACCATTTGGTCCTCTCACGACAACAATAGTTACAAAACCTGTTTGGTGTTGAGGCTGGTTTCTAGTGGGGCCTTGGGCTGACTGGTCGAATGAAATCAGTTGTAGATAAACTGAGGTATACAAATTGGGAACAGTTTTTAGGGATAGGCCTACTTAAAATGTAATTTGCATGTATTTTTATTGTCTTTAAAAATATAAAATTTCCAAATCACTGTGTTTTATGTATTTAGATATAAATGCTTATAAATCAAATCTGTTTTAAAAACCAGGTAATAAATAAATAAGAATATTTGTTTTACTGAGTTAACCCTCCAAGTGTCCATAGTTTAGGCCTTAATGTCCACCTATTTTTGGCGCATTTGCAAGGTTTTATTAAAACGGATCTGAGAAGCTTAAAACAATGTTAATTCTAATGTTCTATATACCATTTTGTTTGGAAAATCATGGGCTTCAATATTATATATAAAACATAAGGAACATTTTTTCAAAAAAAAAATTTTTAGGTAAAAAAAATATAATTTTCGAAAATTTTCAAAAAAAAAATAAGTTCGCGCTCAATGAAATTGTATAAATTATAGGCCTATAAATATTTGAAAATAGCCACTTTGTTCTAAATTTTATGAGGATTACAAATATATAATAATATAAGGAAGTAGATTTGCAAATAAATAAGTTATGGGCAAAAAACTGATTTCAGTACATAGCGTTTAGCTAAGAATGCATAGCCTAACCATAGCTAGGAATCTGGCTGATAATTTACATCAATATCACTACCTACTTCTTCAGGATCATCAACCAGCACTTCAAAACCACTTAAATCTTCTTATAATGCACCACGTATATCACTACTTTTGATTTTTAACACTAAAACAATGATAAACGTAATAAAACACATCAGTCATCGGTCCGGGGGAACCTAGCTGTTTACAAATACACGCACGTCAGCTGTCTGCTACAATATTTTCGGAACTAAAATGAATAGCGCTTAGAGACAGACCTCTGGAGAAAGCTTAGAATATTACGGAAAGAACGATACCTAACTCGATCCAGTTCAATCCGATTCAGTCAGTCATAGAGCCTTCGCCGTAAACGATGTCTGCGTGTCGAAAAATCGACAAGTAACACTACACAAAGTGTGCTGCTTGTCGAATTTTCGTCAAGTAACACTGGGAGGGTTAAGAGACATTAAACCTACAGAATAATTTACATCTTCCCAGTCATGTAATAAACTATTAATTTAAGTAATTATGCTTAAATGTGTAACAAAGTCCTTGTAGGCCTAAATATGGGTAATTTCCCATCAATAAACATCGATGGAATACAAATTTTTGTTTGTTGTTGGTAGGCCTACTCACATACATGTTTGTAAAGCTAATGAAGTAAGGAATCCAAAAAAGTCACAAAGTTTATGGTAAAATTATTTTTTATTTATAAATGTAAATTTATAATTTTTTATTTATTATGTTTTATATTTTAACAATTTTGTAAAAAAAATTCTTAGTATTTAGTATAAAACTTTTGTACCAAATTTGTTTACTTCAAACCAACATAATCTTGTAGTGTATTCAATTACCTACATAAAAATGTATAACACGTTGGGTAACAGTTTTTCTTTTACGTGTTAGGGGCATAATAATGTAATAAACGGAAAACTGCAAAATACAACCGCAAGAAAAATACAACCTTTTATAAACACAATTTCACACTATTCGGTAAATATTCGTGCATACTAAAATGCATGAAGATTACTGTTATATACACACACACATTTCTATAACAATATGAAATAACAACGAATTTAGTAAAAAATCGTGGATAACACGAGAGCGAAAACTCACCGGCAACAACATGCAATGACCAAATGAATACAAGGCACTTTGTGTATGAGACCTTGACAGTAGTGACACACTTTCGTTGACTTCATGAGAGAAAACGGAAATAACCCTGAGCGCAGGGCTGCCACTATCACAAGCTACATTTCTTTCTCTTCAAAACGACATATTATATGACTAGTAATAATAACTTACACTGTATGTAATTCGTATTTTCCATACTAGCGTATTACGCTTGTTGGCCATTTGTTATAAATTTCTAAAACAGCTGTTATAAAATTGTACCTGTTGTGCAATCAATATTCCATTCTAAATATCAATACAACAATGAAGATAAAATCAATGGCTATCCAGTGGTACCACCCGCAACATCCCATACCATATCATACCATTTTGTTGTCGAAGGAGCCAAAACACCCCGACGGCTACCCGGTACCTATTACTTAACCCAGGTCCCATAGTGTCGGCCGGAGCTTACGCACCAACCTTGAACCCACCATGGGTGGATGACTTAAGGCCATTAAGCTCACCGGCTCCCGAAGCAACTCTTCGGAAAGAGGGTTACCCCTCAATCCTAACCAGGGATACCGGTTACTTGGTCGCATGTACACTCCAAATGGGTTCCACCAGGGCTGACACCCTGAAGGACCATAATGGAATGCCCTGAACGCAACACAGTGCAAGCAACGATGGGACCTATCTAATTCCTGACAGGCCAAACCCGCCATCAAAGGGGAGCGTCAGCTAACCACCTATTTACACTACCCGATCGAGGCCAACCCATTTACTGGGAAACCAGGGATAACCAGGGCGATAGATCCCCAGATACCCCCAGCGGGCTTGATCCCAGCACCCGATCTACTTCGTTTGCCCATATAGCCCAACATCACTGCCAGGCCATCAGGGTTTCCCAAAAGGAGGCAGGTATAGAAGTGGGACCCACCCGGATGAACCTATCCACCAAAGGTGGCGACACCCTTAACTCAATTGAGGTTCCAGAGAAAACCCCCCCCCACTCTCGAGAACCATACCCTCCGGGCTCAGAGACAGGGATAGGCTGATTGAGTGTGACCACCAGCCGTTGCCCTCACACCTGCGGAAAGTTCCATTCCCCTAGAGTGTCCCCGTGAGCTTACGGGTACTCGCCCATTTTCACCTCCCCTGAAAAGGCTACTAGGCCTACCTGAAAAGTCGAGCTTTTGCCACACATAATGTTGGTGGCACACAACAAGCGGGCCGAAGCCCATAGAACCACAGCCACAGGCAGATGGGAGATTGATGGCACACAACCACCTCTCCGAGAGCTGAACACCCCACCTTCCTGGATGGAGGAATGTCACTGGGAACTCTCCCCTAAGGGGCTAGCTTGCCCAGTTGTCCATAACTGTGGCCTACTTCAAATGCCGATTCCGACACCGAGCAGCTACCTCCCCTTTGGGGGCACCCACAACATCCCAAGACGAAAATTACCTGAACAGGGTAATCCCAAACAAGTCGTGTTTTGACAGTTCCCAAGTGTCAGCTGCAAAAGTCGTGCCGCGCCAAAAATTCATTTGATTTCTTATCGTCGTGACATTGTTATATACCTGCTACAGGGTTTGTTTATATAACAAAATGAAAGTTCAGAATGTGATCTTTCGAATGGTATATATTGTGTCAAGAGTTTATTATACACTCCCTAAGACATTCTACCAATAGTCTGTGGGTTTTAATTGATTGTTTGTACTTAATTTGACACATTTTGGAAATTTATTAATTAGGTCGGAGACAACCTTATGCTGAGACCATTGTGTAGCTTACATGCACTCAAAACCAAATTTAAGATAAAAGTTTTTCTTTGATGACACTTCAGATTTGCAAGTAGTGTTAAAAATAAATCATAGTTTCTTGCTGCAAATTCATTATCCTTTAGTGGTAGTTAAGTAGTGTGCATAAATCCCAATCATTTCAATGATATTGCTATTTATTCACATGAACTCAAATTCAAAACATGTTATAACAAAATAATTTCTTTCTTCAAGGATAAAATACTTTAAATAACAGTTGGCTATATTCTATTCCAAAACAAAATAAATGGGTGGATCTTACTTTTAGAAAACTGCATTTCAGTGGTTTGGCAGACCTGGGCTGTTCTTACTGCTACTCATATTAGTTAACACCTCCCCATGGCAGTACATAAGGCAATTATTACACCTTAAATTTTTGTCTGAAACATCGAAACGGCACACGGAAGATTTCTCAGGTGCCGTTTGATGTCACTAACTGCTGACGTCACTTTGAGGGAACACCAATACCGCAACGATACGGAATTGGAGCCATCGGCCTCGGTGGTGCAGTGGATAGCGTTGCGAGCTGATAATCCAAATGTGCCGGGTTCGAATCCCGCCGGCGGCACAAACTTTTTATCAACATTTTTTTTCATATCAGCAAGTTGGGTTGGTTTGGTTAGGTTATTACAGTTTAATTTTATAATTAAAAAATTATAAAATTGAATTTTAGGCAATTATAATTTTATTTTATGAACAAAACTATTTTTTAGATTAGTAAACCTTTATTCAATTTTTCCATTATCAGCACGTTTGGTTAGTTTGGTTAGGTTATGACAGTTTAATTTAATAATAGAAAATTATAAAATTGTCTGTTTCTTCAGACGCAGCAGTTAGTGACGTCAGCAGTTAGTGACGTCAAACGGCACCTGAGAAATCTTCCGTGTGCCCCACCGCTGAAACATTACCCAATATACAAATAAAATGTATTCTACTAACCTGAAAATATCACATGATTATTAAATGGTTTGTATTACATTCAGGCATCAAGTAATTACACATGATTTAGAAATTAATATAGCCACTTATTTAAATATTTCTCAAACAAAATAAAATCAGAAAAATTTAGAGTAAAATCACATGAGGACTCAACTGATTATTACGTTATAAGCCATTCATTGATAACTAAAACTAAAATCTTTCTTTGACAGAACATAGTGGACCTGTAGGCCCTAAAACATAATTACAAAACATAATTTTCAGTAATACTTAAATCTAAAATAAATTAAAATAATTTCGTACCTTGTCGACGATTTCTCTGGTACCACAATATAAGGCAAAATACTCTGCAATTCCCCCTCAGTCAACACTGCACTAATAAACTAAGTAAGAAATTAGTACAATATTTCCCTCTTGTGCATAAACAGTATATTGCTTCAATTTTTATTTACTATATTTATTCCATGAATAGTACAAAAGCGGTTCTTTCACCGTTAAAAAAATTTCGGCCCATACTAGTGTATTACGCTGGTGGCCATTCTAGGCGTCACGGAGAACGAGCGTATTACACTCGTTGGCCACTGCTAGGGTTAATTGATCATTTTCTTTTGATGCCCTCAACAAAATATGCACTACGATTCCTGGGTCAAATTTACTTATTGAAGTAACAAATTTTTGTTTCAGGTACATCGAGATAGCCTGGGCTTTCTCCACGCTCCTAGGTCTCGTCTTGTTTCTCTTTGAGATAGCGATCCTTTGTTGGGTCAAGTTTTACGATTTCTCCAAGGAGGCTGCCTGGTCCGCCAGCATCATCTTGATCCCTGTCCTCGTCATTTTCCTAGTTTTCGCCATTCACTTCTACATCTCCCTGGTGACTCACAAGTATGAAGTCACCATCTCCGGGATCCGAGAGCTGGAGTTGCTCAAAGAACAGATAGAGGCGGGAGATATGGAGACAAGGATGCAGAATATGAACGTTCCCACAGGCATTGTGGGTGCAGGCTTGTCTCTCATTGGAGCAGGGAATACCCAGATTGTGTGATTTTAGGTGATAGTAATTGTTATTTATTAAATATAATGAAGGTACAAGATTTTTATTATAACAAACATTCAAATGTTGAACTGCGCAAAATGGATTTTTTAGCACAAGGTTAGTAGCATTTTCTTGATAAAACTTTATTTAAAGAGTGATACATAACGTTTTTATCACATTGTTTACTAAACAATAAATTTATAAAATTGGATCAACTGTTTATAAAAGAAGCTGTGTTCAAATTGACAACAACATTAAATTGGCTGAGTCAGAAAGTCTATGCACTGAAAATGCTAAGGTTTATTTTGACACAGTGGTTTGGGCTGCCTTAAACAACTATTCTACTTAGGCCTAACTCAAAGGATTTAGTCTTCTTATAATCTTTATGATATCAATAGATTGAGTAACTGGAAGTATTACTGAGCAGTATAGGCCTATAACTGTCGTACTTTATCACTTTGTATAACCAATATTAATTTGTACTTATTGCTTTAAAATGTTTGCTTAATATATTCAAGGTTCATGTTTCATTAATTGCTCCTTTAAATGTATGTACTTGGTGCATGTTCCTTTACATTTTTCATTCAAATTGTTTTTGTATTATTGATCAAACAAATATGTTTATTTTTATTTTTTATGTTCTAAGACTTGAATTAACCCTTTCAGTGCTAAGCCAATAATTCATATTTTGTAAGTCTTTTTTGTTTGCCTTTTAATTCCATTACCCGTTGTTGAATTTTAACTGTCATGTTGTCACTATTTTATTAATTAGGCTAATTTTGAATAATAACACTATAAGAAAATATATAAGAAAGATAAATCCCGGTATTTGTAGTAAACATCAAATAAAACTTAGTTTTTGTTGTAATTTTCCTGGTTTTCCTATAAATTTTTATGTTCTGATAGCATTATTTGAAACCGAAATCTCACAATATCAAAAGACATATAGTTTACAATGTAATATTGAATTTAACCCTGATTTAGTTGGACAAGGTTATTGTAATAAAGCAATTTTAGGGAAACTAATGTTTTGCAGCAAAGTCTCAGGAACACATTTACTACTACTAAAACTAAAAGATTGCATCTAAATAGTCCGTGACTAGCTGGTGCTGCTACCTAGTAACACATTGAACAACCATCTGCAGAGCAATCTGTTCGCAATCGGTGGCGACAGCTTAAATACCGGGTTTTGACTCCCCAGTCTTCAAGCACAGATAGCCGAGAAGGCTAGGGCGTGTGTCACTTGGCCAGTGGCATTCGTCTGCTCGGGTTCGAATCCCGTCCTGTGTGGCAAATAATTGGTGACCTGCTGTGTGTTTGTAGCGATATACTACAACCACTGGGGCATAGTGAGGTGTTCATAATCCTTGGTTTAGAGACATACACCTCGAAATAATCGGATTGGGCGAATCTTTTAGCTAAGTGGTTGGTAGTGTATCCTATAAACATGCAGGTCACCAATGGCCGTTTTGCTATTTTTTTAAAAATAACCTTCCTCTCTATATCCCTTAGGGTTTTTTTAAAACAACGATATATCGTTTCATAGCACTGAAAGGGTTAACTTATAAGTTGTAACACAATTTGTGATATTTGTTGGAAAGTTTGCTATGATGGTGCTTTGTTTTAGGTTTGTAGTAGCAACAAGGTTTATTTCTGTCTGTAAATTGATAATGTCTATAGTTAAAAAAAATGTAGAATAATGTAGTTTGAATTAAATTTACAGGACAGGTATTCATGTAACAACCAAAGTGTGTATATTATTATTATTACTTAAAATAAATTTAGAGTACTTAAGAAATATATCTGAATTTAAGAGGCCTTAAGAATAATTATTGTATATTTATACTGAAATAAACTATGTTAATGAAACGTCCATGGTGTTATTACCAGGGTCTGTTACACAGTTGATTAAGAACTAAATTACCATTTTAAGATATCATAATGGTTTTAGTGGTGAAGTACATCCAATGGAAACACTTCTTCTTTACTGATTAAAACTTAAGACTTTTTTCATCTCGGTTAATAAACCTACTATACAGCTCAAGGTGGGATTGAACCACAAGGTAATTCAAATTGCAAAACACACTAAAACCGCAAATACATAAAAACTATTTAATAGTGAGAAAGATCATATAAATGGGCATACTATAAGTAAGACACGACAATAAATATCTATAATTTACAAACAATTAGACTAGAGTTAGTTATCTTCCTTCTCCTCTCTACTTGACGTAGATATTCTCTCACACTCTTTCTTGTGCACAAACCAATGCAGTCTCTGGCAGTTTCTATCACAGTACTGAGTGTTTTTACACTTGGAGCACTTCTTGACAGCTGACTCTTCTCCACATGTCGCACAAGAGGGCTTCTCATTGTCAGGAAATAGTTGAGGACAGATCATTGAGCTGACAACACTCAGAGCCGATGGTGCGTCCTTCTTGGCAAGTATTGTCACCATCTGTGCCAAATATTCCAATTTTTAAAAGTGGTAGGAAACATTGCTTAACCTTGGCTTATCTGCTCTTACTAATTGCTCACTTCTTAGTTTTATATAATTAATTGACAAAAAAATATAAGTTAAAGTTACTAGAATTACCCAATAAGTCCATATCTGAAATCCAAAGAAGGAAGAAAATGTATTACATCCACATTATGACAGACTGTTATATTTTTGTGCTGCCATATTTTGTAAGTAAGTATCATATGTCATATGTGCTTTAGTGAGGTATCCAACTTATATTGCAATACCTTGTTATAGAGTAACACAAAGCGAAAAGAATGTTTTCTAATACATTATTATTCTGGGATCAACAATTATGGTCAAAAGAAAACCTGAAAATTCAGAGAGTATAATATAGATAACTACAAGCCAGAGAAATTATCTGACTGTCCCATTAGTATCATCCAGATAAGCGAAAAGTGAACCAAGATTCATGTGTATTAAAGTAATCAACGAGATTCCATTAGAAAAGAGAAGTATTGGAGATGAAGTCTTTAAATCCAAATCAAAAGAATAAATTCCTGTAAATGAGGCCTTGATACTCTGTGGAAGAACTTTCCAATGATTAGGCCAACGACAAAATTACGAACACGGCACATCAGTGCTTACAGTGGCAGACTGTATCAACATTGACTATATATACCTATAGTCTATAGACTGTAGGTATATATAGTCAATGGTATCAAGTAAGTAAAATTTTATCCTGACAATTGGGAAGCCTTAAAAGTAAATTCAGTTCTATAAAGATTTTGAATTATTATAAAAATCTGGCAAACTTAATTGTGTTCATTTTTAGACCTTTACAAAATGACCCTCTTACAGAGTCAAATTTACAAAAACTTGGGGAAAATAAATCTGTTCCCAGTACCAGTAGCTCTTTGATATTAGTTATTAATAAAGAAGTATTAGGTTTCATTTCAATAATCCTTAGAGATGGGCGAGTACTCGAGATTTCGAGTTTGAGTCGAGTATGGCCTTGAAACTCGAGCTTATCTTTGAACTCAGCAGTTTCGAGTCGAGTTTGGTTTAAAATTGTAAAAAATCAATATTTGTTAAAATGTAACTTTTGTTTACATAAAATGCTTTATAATTTGTATTAGTTCAAATATTTCTACAGTGTAGAAATAAGCAAGAGGTAGCTGTCCTAACCTATTTTTATAGCTGTCACAACATAATAGGTCAACTCAAAGCAGTCGTCAAACTGACTGGCAATGGCATAATCTGGACTTGACACAGAATGACATGATTGGTAGTGATTTTGTTTTAAAGTACTGTTTCACAATAGAAAATTCCATTCCACTATTGAACTGTTGAACGTAAGCAATACATCTATGTTTTAAAAAGTCGGAATAGAAAAACTAGAAAGGCAAAACATTAGAAGGGAGGAAGGGGTTGTGCAATAACCTTGAAAGGAGCTGGCATGGAGTAGTGGTTGGGGGGAAGGGGAGGGTGAGACCTTGGAGCTATATTTAGACTAGACTTTCACTACTTCCCAAATGGTGGGGTAGGGGCAGGGGGATTACAATAGCAGGTTTTTTCCTTGCCTGGTTTGACTTTTGTCTTTTGTTTTTGACTTTTATGTGCAAGGGACCAGGAGAAATATTATTCAAATTAGAGTAAATGCCATGATTTGCATTCTTACATCAAAATACAACATTGCCCAATCATGATGTTTTGGGTCATTGACCTTAATAACGCATCTGTTATAAGTTGATAATTATAAATTGATGTTCCCGTGGTTGAAAATAATTATTCTGTAAACTTGTAAAACATTAGATAACTCACAAATAAGTATAAAATCATTCATTAAGACAATAGTAGCACTGCTAAAAAGGATGGAATACAATCGATTATAGTGAGTTAGGCCTAAGTCTAGGTTTCATTTGATTTCTATTAGAGATGTGAGAGCACAGGTTTTTCAGCTTGAGTCGAGTTTAAACCAAAAAGATCGAAGGATGTGTAAGTTTTAAGTAACCCTTAGGCTTAGAGCATGAAACTTGTAAATTAACCTTGTTACAAGCTGAAGTAGAATTATAAATAAATTAATTATTAATATTTGTGCAGTAACATCTATTCTATATATAATTCAGTTTCAAAAATCTTTGTACAACTAAATCTAGAGTTCTACTGGACCGATTTTATTAATTAACAAGGAAAGGTTGAAAAAGTTAAGTCGTGTAGATTTGCGAATAATTATGAAAGTTTGTTTTTGTTATGATTTATGGTGAAAAGTTTAAAAAAAAAAACATGTTTTCCATAAGAAATACATTTAAAACGGTGTTTTTCACACTTTTTATTTGCGTGCGACTTTTAGCTGCCATTTTTGAATATTTCCAAGAAGTGCATGGTATCAATTTGTAGGAAGTTTTATTCTCTTTCAGAATATCACCCTCCACTTTCGTCGATTTCCTCACCATTTAAAAGTTATTTGCAAAATATCGAAGCAACCTCCGAATTTATAGTAATGAGAAAATATTGAGTTTGGGATATTTTTGTTAAACTTTCCACAACTAAATCTAGACTTCTACTGGACCGATTTTGTTAATTAATGGGTCATTCGAAAGCCTAACTCATGCTGATTTGCAAATAATTATAAAATTGTGACTTTATTAAATATTTGTGGTGAAAAAGTAAAAATAACAAAAATACATTAAAAACTGTTTTTTTCAAGTTTCTGTTTTCAAGATTCTATTTGTTGCCAGCTTTTGGCTGCCTTTATTAAGTATTTTCAAGAAATGCATAGTAGTTATTTGTAGTAAATTTTATTCTCTTTCAGAATATCACATTCAGTTTGGTCGATTTCCCCTCCATTTAAAAGATATTGGCAATAAACTCCAAATTCTCCAAATTTATAGTGGTGAGAAAATACTGAATTAGATATATTTTTGTTAAACTTTGTAAAACTAAATCTAGACTTCTACCGGACCGATTTTGTTACTTAATGGGTCGTTGGAAAGCCTAATTTGTGTAGATTTGCAAATAATTATAAAAGTTAGATTTTATTAGATATTTGAGCTGAAAAAAATAAAAATAAAAAATAATACATTTTAAACTCCTTTTTCCCAAGTTTATATTTCCAATTTTATATTTGTAGCCAGCATTAGGCTGCCTTTATTGAGTATTTTCAAGAAGTACATAATAGTAATTTGTATGAAATTTTATTCTCTTTCAGAATATCACCTTCCACTTTGGTCGATTTCCTCACCATTTCAAAGTTATTTGCAAAAACGTTAAGCAACCTCCAAATTTATAGTAGTGAGAAAATACTGAATTAAAGATGTTATTGTTAAGCTTTGTACAATTAAATCTACAGTTCTACTGAACCGATTTTATTAATTAATAGGTCATTGGATAGCCTAATTTGTGAAGATTTGCAAATAATTATGAAAGTACTGTTGAGGTTGCAAGCAAGATCGTTTGGCTATAAATCGATGATAAATAACTCCATTTTTTGAACAATTTGTGTTGGTTGTGATTTAGCTGTGTGCTTTAATGAAATAGAAGCTGGTATTTCAATGAAGGTTCTTAGGTCAAAACAAATAGAATAACGTAATTAGAATTAAGTAAATATATCTATAAAACTAAATTCCATATTCAAGATATAATCAAATTTATATTTTCTGATTAAGCGATAAAGTATCTTGAACTAAACTGATTAAAACTATCAATATCTCAAGTGAAAGCCTTTGAAGTATTTTAAGACAAAGACATATAAAATAACTTAAATAAAAATAGTTACGGATCATTGATTGCAGATAGGTACTAAAACGATAGTAATTATTGTTGATTCGTGATTCAGCAGCGTGCTTTAGGTAGCCCGATCTTAATAATCAATAGCTCAAATGAGAGCTGGTATTTCACTTAAGGTTTTTAGACCAAAATGTATAATGTAATTAGAACTGTTGGAAAACATCGTTAATTGAGGTAAAAAAAAATTCGTTCGTCGAGTAATACATTAGATAAATTAATGATGATGCTTAATGACAAATATGTGCTTGCATAGCTTTAAGATTTAAGACCAAAATTATGAAAATCGGGAGGGTAGAAGAGCCCTCCTGTAAACCATCGCCCGCCTGCGAAACATTGAACTCGAAAAAAAACAAATTTAACTCCCATAAGAAAAGTACAGGGAGGCAGTTTGTGCATAACTCGAAATATACGTCAAAATGAATGCCGATGCTTGATGGCAAATCTGCGGAACGTCCACACCTTTTTAGGGCCAAAATTATGAAAATCGGTCGGGTAGAAGAGCTAACACGACTCGGAAAAGAAAAACCATTTATTTTTATAGATGGCAATAATTAGTTTACCAGTATCCATAATCTAATCATACGAAACATGTGTTAATAATTCAACAGCTTATTGTTATATTGTTATCTAATTAATTTTTCTTTGATTAAATGTTGTTGTTAACAATTTGCATTTGTGTTTAAAGTAGAGGTGTGCGGATATCCGAAAAATCGGGTCGGGTTCGGTTCGGATATCCGTATCCGAACCGGGACGAAATTCGATATCCGACACTATCCGTTATATATCCGACTTTTTCGGATAGACAATATATTTTGACGTTTTGGACAGAAAACTAAATCTCCATAGCCACCATTAGTTTCCCAGGACAAGATTACAGCAATACGTTTCCAACGACCTAACAGCAAACGGCAAAGAAGCCGTATGATGCAATACTGATAACTAGTTTAGTCTTTAGTCGTTATCGGCTGTTTTGCTTTACGATTAGATTCGTCTGGAACAAACAGACATAAAGCAGAAAAGAACTACCATGGTCAAATGAAAGTCAACTCGTGCTTGTCTCGCTCCTGATACTAGGGGCGCTGCGTAATAGTTTTTTTTTACAGTACTGTTTCAAAGTAGAAAAATCTAGCCTACTACTGTGATGTTACGTAAACAATAGATTTAATGTTTCCCGAAAAAAAGTCAGAATAGAAACAATAGAAAGGCAA